GGTAGTGTGTGGGTGTAGTAATGTGGTAGTGTGTGGGCGTAGTTGTATGTGGGTGTGATAGTGGGCGTAGTAGCATGGGTGTGGTAGTGTGGGCGTAGTAGTATGTGGGTGTGGTAGTGTGGGCGTAGTAGTATGTGGGTGTGGCAGTGTGGGTGTGGTGTGGGCGTAGTATGGGTGTGGTGTGGTAGTAGTATGTGGGGTGTGGTAGTGTGTGGGCGTAGTAGTATGTGGGTGTGGTAGTGTGGGCAGTAGTATGTGGGTGTGGTAGTGTGTGGGTGTAGGTAGTGTGTGGGGCGTAGTAGTATGTGGGTGTGGTAGTGTGTGGGCGTAGTAGTATGTGGTGTGGTAGTGTGTGGCGTAGTAGTATGTGGGGGTGGTGTGTGGGTGTGGTAGTGGGGCGTAGTAGTATGTGGTGTGTAGTGTGGGCGTAGTAGTATGGGGTATGGTAGAATGTGGGTGTGGTAGTGTTTGGGTGTGGTAGTGTGTGGGTGTGGTAGTGTGTGGGTGTGGTAGTGTGTAGGTATGGTAGAATGTGGGTGTGGTAGTGTTTGGGTGTGGTAGTGTGTGGGTGTGGTAGTGTGTGGGTGTGGTAGTGTGTAGGTATGGTAGAATGTGGGTGTGGTAGTGTTTGGGTGTGTTAGTGTGCGGGTGTGGTAGTGTGTGGGTATGGTAGTGTGTACGTGTAGTGGTGTGTGTGTGTATATGGTGTTCATTTGGTACAGTATGGGTGTGGTAGAGTATGAGGGTAGTACAGTATGGGTGTGGTTATGTAGTTGGGTAGATTGAGTGTGGGTGTGGACAATGTGGCTATGCTAGAATATGGTAGATTGTGGGAGTGCCAGAGTGTGGGAGCTGTAGTGTGTGGATATGGTAGAGTGTGTTTGGTAGGGTGGGATTGTGGGAAAGTGTGAGTGTGGTATTCTGATAGTGTGGGAGTGGTAGAGTGTGTGGTTGTGGTAGTGTGTGGTTGTGGTAGTGTGTGGCTGTGGTAGTGTGTGGGAGCGGTAGATTGTGTGTCTGTGGTGGTGTGTGGCTGTGGTAGTGTGTGAAACAGCAAGTAGTGTGGCTGTGGTAGTGTGTGGCTGTGGCAGTGTGTGGCTGTGGTGAGTGTGTGGCTGTGGTAGTGTGTGACTGTGGTAGTGTGTGAAAACAGCCAGTGAGTGTGTGGCTGTGGTAGTGTGTGGCTGTGGTAGTGTGTGGCTGTGGTAGTGTGTGGCTGTGGTAGTGTGTGGGTGTGGTAGTGTGTGGCTGTGGTAGTGTGTAGGTGTGGTAGTGTGTGGGTGTGGTGGTGTGTGGATGTGGTAAGTGTGTGTGTGTGTGTGTGTTGGTCTAATAAAATGTGTGTGGGTAAAATACAATGTGGATGTACTCCGGTGTGAATGCAGTAAAGTCATTGTGGGTGTGGTCAAGTGTCTGGTTGTGGTAGTGTACAATGTTGGGTTACGAAATTGTGTAGTGTAAGCTGTAGAGTAGGCTGTAGTGAAGGCTGTAGTGTAGGCAGTAGAATAGGCTGTAGTGTAGGCTGTAGTATAGGCTATAGAGTAGGGCTGTAGTGTGGGTATGGTTAAGTATAGAATAGTAGAAAAAGTTTAGAGTGAAGAACTGTGGTCGCCAACTCTCATAAAAAAAGACGATATTCCTATTGATTGAGTAGAGTATGGATTGACTTAGTGTTGGGAGGGGCGTATTACATGGTGGGGTAACACAGTGTTGGGAGGGTACAGTGGGAGGTGGTACATTAAGTGTCCAGTAAAGGGTGTGGGTATAATACAAAATGAAGATATTACAGGGTGATGGTAGTACAGTTAGGGGATAATACAGTGAGGGGGGTACTGCAGTAA